TGAACAGAGAAAAAAGAAGAAAGAGTTTTCAAGAAGGAAGGAGAGTCTCATTCACTGTCGTCTATTATTGACCCCTACAGTGTCCGGATTGAAGTGATGACTGATTAACTACCATTCCATAGAAGTTCATCTTTTTAAAACAATGTTTATTGTTTGAGATGATTATATAAATTAAGAAGTTGGTTAACCAAATTATTTTATATTTTTAAAGGACGATATTGAATGGAAAGGTACATTAAGCTCCCTCAGTTAATCACATCTGGGAACAAATGAATCAAGTACCTGATGACAATACACATGAATTATAGGCAGAGTAACTACTCCTCACACAGTTGATATGTTATGAGTATGTGCTATGAGACCCATACTGGCTGTTAAATATAGAAATACTTCCACACTCATTGGCAATTCATCACCTCTGAAAGTGCTCTCCTCCAGTATCTACCATGCATTACCCAGATTTACCCAGGATTCAGCAACTAAAGAGTTAATGCCTAGCATAGCAGGGGGTCCCCACCAACCATCTCTTCTGGAAATCTGACCCTCCCCTGTCTGTTCTGGTGGATCTATGCCCTTACGAAACAGGTGATTAAATATTGGGCTCTTTTGAATATCCTGGGATATTGAGGATATCCTGGGATACTGAGAGCCTTTTTGCCGTGCTCACAGAGCACTTGGAATCTCCCAGAACCCCTGACCCTGAGGCATCCACTCCCCCCCCCCCCCCCCCTGTCACCTGCCCTCTACCCCCTTTCCCCCTTCTGGAAAGAATCAGTAACACAAGTGATGAACTCTGGAAAATCACTATTTCCAAACCATGTCCCAGGAGCAACAAGGTTGAGGTCCAAGAATTTTGTGGATACTGTGCTGCCCCACATCCTCTTCCTAAATTCAACTGTGAAACCACAAGTTTGGTGTCAGCCCCACAGCAAAACTGTGCTTGTAAAATCCAGTGAGGTCTCAATTTCCTCATCATAGTTCTTTCTCTCTCCTGAGCCTCTCACCCAAATCTACCTTGATCCTGTTTTCCTGATTTTGTGTTAGTTTTGTTTCAGCAACCAATGTAGTTTTTCATACATTCCAAGCACCAGCAACTCTGGGGCTCTGTCACTGAGCACTTGACAGACAGGAGGGGTGACCCTCAGAACTTCCATTTTCTCTAAGTCTTTCCTCTCAAAACATAAATGTGATAAAAATACTGAGTGTCTACATTTTATGGTGGTGTCTTTGCTAGTACATTTCTTTTTTTCAGCCTTTCTTAGATATAATTGACATATAAAATTTTAAGATATTTAAAGTGTACATCGTGGTGATTTATGTATAGATAGATATTCTGAAAGGATTCACCTTATCTAGTTGATGAACACATTCATGACCTCACATATTTATCTCTTTTTCTTGCTGAGAACATTTAAGTTCTACTTTCTTAGCACATTTCAATTACACAATGTTATCGACTGTGGTCACCATGCTTAATGTTAAATCTTCAGACTTTATTCATCTTATAGCTGAAATTTTGTACCCTTTACCAACCTCTTCCTATTTCCTCCACAACTCAGCCCTGGCAACCACTTTCCTACTCTCTGTAGGAAAACAAACAAAAAAGTCACACAAAAAATTTTGACATTTTTTTCCTTTTAGATTCCACATATAAGTGACACCATGCTGTATTTGTCTTTTCTGGCTTATTTCACTTACACAATGCTCTCCAGGTCCATCCATGTTGTCGCAAATGGCAGGATTTCTTTCTTTCTCCTGCTGAATCATATTCCATCGTACATATGTTCAACTTCTCCTTTATCCAAGCAACTAAGGATGGACACTTAGGTTCTTTCCATATCTTGGCTATTGTGAATAATGCTACCATAAATATGGGAGTGCAGATATTTCCTTGATATCGTTTTCATTTTGTTCGTATATGTGCCCAGAAGTGGGGTTGCTGGATCCGATGGTAATCCTATTTTTATTTTTTTGAAGAGCCTCTACGTTGTTTTCCATAGTGACTGCACCAATTTACATTCCCACCAACAGTGCATAAGGGGTTCCCTTTTCTCCACATCCTAACCAACACTTATGTCTTGTCTTTTAGATGACAGCCATTCTAATAGGTGTGAGGTGACATTTCATTGTGGTTTTGATTTGCATTTTTCTGATGATTAGTGGTACTGAGCACATGTTCATGTGCCTGTTGGCCATTGCATGCCTTCTTTGGAAAAATGTCTATTCAGTTTCTCTGTCCATTAAAAATTTTTTTTATTGGAGTATAGTTGATTTACAATGTTGTGTTAGTTTCAGGTGTACAGCAAAGTGAATCAGTTACACATATACATACATCCACTCTTTTTCAGATTTTTTTCCCATATAGGCCATTACAGAGTACTGAGTGGAGTTCTCTTGCTATACACTACTAGGTCCTTATCAGCTATCTATCTTACATATAGTATTGTGTATATGTCAATCCCAATCTTCCAATTTATCCCTCCCCCTCTTACCCCCGGTAACCATAAGTTTGTTTTCTACATCTGTAATTCTATTTCTGTTTTGTAGATAAGTTCATATGTACCCTTTTTTTAGATTCCACATATAAGCGATGTCATATGATATCTGTCATTCTCTGTCTGACTTACTTCACTTAGTATGACAGTCTCTAGGTCCATCCATGTTACTGCACATGGCATTATTCCATTTTTTTTATAGCTGAGTAATATTCCATTGTATATATTTATCACATCTTCTTTATCCTTTCCTCTGTTGATGGACATTTAGGTTGCTTCCATGTCCTGGCTATTGTGAATAGTGCTGCAATGAACATTGGGGTGCATGTATCTTTTCAAATTATGGTTTTCTCCGGATATATGTCCAGGAGTAGGATTGCTGGATGATATGGTAGCTCTATTTTTAGTTTTTTAAAGAACCTCCATACTGATTTCCATAGTGGCTGTACCAGTTTACATTCCCACCAACAGTGTAGGAGGGTTCCATTTTTTCCACACCCGCTCCACCGTTTATTGTTTGTAGATTTTTTGATGATGGCCATTCTGACCGGTGTGAGGTGATAGCTCACTGTCGTTTTGATTTGCATTTCTCTAATAATTAGTGATGTTGCACATCTTTTCATGTGCTTTTTGTCCATCTGTATGGTCACCTAATCTATGACAAAGTAGGCAAGAATATACAATGGAGAAAAGACAGCCTCTTCAATAAGTGGTGCTGGGCATGAAATTAGAACACTCTCTAACACCATACACAAAAATAAACTCCAAGTGGATTAAAGACCTAAATGTAAGGCCGTATACTATAAAACTCTTAGAGGAAAACATAGGCAGAACACTCTTTGACATAAATCGCAGCAAGATCTTTTTTGACCCACCTCCTAGAGTAATGAAAATAAAAACAAAAATAAACTAATGGGACCTAATGAAACCTAAAAGCTTTTGCACAGCAAAGGAAACCATAAACAAAATGAAAAGACAACCCTCAGAATGGGAGAAAATATTTGCAGATGAAGCAACCGACAAGGGATTGATCTGCAAAATATACAAACAGCTCATGCAGCTCAGTATCAAAAAAACAAATAACCCAATCAAACAATGGGCAGAAGATCAAAATAGACATTTCTCCTCTGTCCATTTTTAATTGGATTTTTTGTATTTGGTTGCTTCCAAGTTTTAGCAAATGCAAATAAAGCTGCTATAAACATTTGTGTGCAGGTTTTTGTATGAATGTAATTTTCAACTCATTTGGGTAAATACCAAGGAGCTCTATTGCTGAATCATATGATAAAATTATGTTTAGTCTTGTTTGAAACTGCCAAACTGTTTTCCAAAGCGGCCGTACCATATTGCATTCCCATCAGCAATGAATGAGAGTTTCTGCCGCACCACATCCTCACTAGCATTTGGTGTTGTCAGTATTTTGGATTTTACTCATTCTGGTAGGTGTGTTGTGGTATCTCACTGTTGATTTAATTTGAAGTTCCCTAATTATATCAATATGTAATGCTTTCATACGTTTATTTGACATTTGTATAACTTCTTTGGTAAGATGTTTGTTCATATCTTTTGGCCATTTTTTAATTGGGCTTTTTATTTTCTTATTGTTGAGTTTGAGTTCTTTATATATTTTGGATACCACTCTTTTACTAGATACATGTTTTGCAAATATTTTCCCCCAGTCTGTGGCTTATCTTTCACTTTCTTAATTTTTATACTTTTAGAAGTCTTTGTCTTCTTTGAAAATATCCATGGTGATTTTCACATGTTGTACTCTTGGGTACACAAATTGTTTCCTCTCCCTCCATGTAATTGGGAATATATTTTTGAAACATAATATTTTTTCTTTTACATTTCCAGGCACATAACCTTATCTATATTCTTTCTATCTGTTTTGAGTGGGATGGGGAGATTAGATTACTCCCAAAGGAATGAAAATAGTTCATTTCGTCATTTAGTTCTGACATTTAATTTGGATTTTTGACTTCTCAGCAAGAGAATTGTCTTGGATAACTGGTTCGTTCAAAGGTAAATTTTTTTCTAAATTATTTCATCATATCTTTCAATATGTTATAAGTAAGGCCTGTTAGACTTGATAGTAGAGTTTTTATGTAAGGAAAGGGTGACAGGAAGGTGTAGGTGAGATAGGAATGTCGATTTTATTGGTCTCGGGAGACTGATCGAAGAAAAAGGAAGATGGAGGCAGAGCAAGGAAATCAGATGTCAGGACCCTTGTCCTTTCCCTCCCCTGTGAAAGACAGATTAACTCATGGGGTGAGGATAGGTTAGAAACATGTAGATAAATATGAGAGCACAAGAATATTGGAGAGTAGAGCACGTCTCAAAAGTCCAGGTGGGATAACCCACACCTAACGAGTTACCTACCCATGGAGAAGACCAGACTGTCTACTCAGCTACATAGACCAAAGGATCCAGAAAGCAGTGCATGGATTTAAGGCTTTTTTTCCCTCCTCAACTGACACTCAATTATTTCCCCTTATTACCCAGATGTCATCCTGGGGAAGGGGAGGTTAAGGTGGTGGAACTTCCAACAAAGCACCTAAAGAGATTGAGTCATCCAAGAGACTTTAAATCAGCCCTGACACGGAGTTGAACTTTAAATGGACTGAATATTTAAAAACATTGACACCTGAAAGGAACTCTTTAAACCTGAAGAAACTGAGGTATTGTGAATTGCAAGTTTCAGTTTCATAACGACTTAGTGGATGGGATGGTTAATGGGAAAGATCATTAGAGAAACTTTTTTCTTTACATATCTTTCTATAGGTAACTAAGTACAGTGTAAATTTGCTATCCTACTATATAAATCTCCTTTTTTCCTCCCTATGTTATTCATTAGTCCATTCTTCCATTCACCCATCCCATTGAATTGATTTGTTGAAACTACTAAATAAAATAATACATGTTATGAACCTATCAGAATGTGGGACATGTATACACAATTTGTGTTAGCTACTACTACTACTATTATTATTTGTATAATATTGTCATTATTATTAATTTTCTGCATACCATATAGTCTGTTTCCTATGAGTTACTTCAGAATCTCTAGTAAATACAACTATGGAGGAGATGGCAATGTAGAAAAGTTATCAATTTTTATTTTATCATGTTTAATGAGAAAAACGCCATCAATTAACTTCACTCAAAAAAAACTTTAAAAAATCATATCTGTGAATATAGCCAATATTTTATAGTAACTATAAATGGAGTACAACTTTTAAAAATTGTGAGTCACAATGTTGTAGACCTGAAACTTACATATAATATTGTACATCAACTCTACCTCAATCAAAAAAAAAAAAACTAGCAATATAACACTGGCCAAATTAAAAAAAAATTATACCTGTGAATTTAAGAATATTGTAGACACTATTGCTATTCAAATGAATAAAACTCAGCTTCCGACAAGTAAAGCTTGCATTGTTGTTGGAATAAAGTAAAACATACATTTAAGTTCCATAAAGTGTTAGGTTTGTTACACTAGAAATATGCTTAGGGTTTCAGTTATGGGTTAAAAAGAGGAAGTGCTCAGTTTTAACTGGGCAAGAGGGTCAGGATAAGAATTAAGAGAAGAGGGGAAATTTGGGAACATCTTGAACAGTAGTGAAGTGGCTGAGCGGGGATGGGTATTCCACACAGAGGGAACCGAGTCCACAAAGGCATAGGCAGGAAATAATTTCATGTGCTGATGAGTTGAGAGCATAGAGTGGGACAGGATAGGAGTGTGGCAACAAAGGAGGCTGAATTACTAATCCATTAATCCATTCAGCAGATAGCTCTCTACTGTTTGCCCTGTCAGGCATGGAAGGTGCTGGGGATACAGTGATGGTCTCTGCTTTGATGGACTCACATTCTGAATAATCACAGTCTTCTTCTATGGGAAACGGGGCTTTGTTGAAGGGGGAATGACTTTATTTTTATTGTAGGAAGGTCACTTGGTGGCCGTGTGAAGCAGTGTTTGAAGGGGGCACAAATGAGGATGGACAGACTAGATGATAGACGGACTAGAGGTAGATGATCATTTACTAATTCAAATGAGAGGAGCTGACGCCACTAGAAGCAAGAACAGAAAGAAGTAAGCTTTGATAACTAGCTTGAATCTATTAAGTCTTGGTGACTACTTGGACCTGGGGTGTAAAAGAGAGGGTAAAACTTGAATGGCCCAGAGTTCTCTGACTTGTGTGAAAGGTGATACACTCACTGAGTTTGTTGTCTCACCTGCTTTTCTAGACAAGCTAGAGCCTTGGGTGCTGAGCCTGGGCTGGGACCTGATGCTCTAGGAACTGAGGCTGGAAGGGGTATATTTAGAGTGAGTGGTGGGGGTGGACGGGATTTGGTGAACAGGGGTGGCATAACTTGCCCTTGGGCTGCAGCATGTGAAACTAAATGGGAGTGTTCCAGACGGCTCCAAGCTGTTCAAGGGGACTAAGAAGGGGACCTTTAGCTATGAGGCTATGGGTCTAAGGCAGGCAGTGGAGGAGCTCTCAAGGAAGGCTGTGAAAAAGCCACAGGAAATCCAAAAGAACATCTGCATGTCACCAGCTCTGGTTCTATTCCAGCCTGGGTACCTAATCCCATGAGCTAGTACTGATAACTAAGGGATGAAACAGTATTCCTATGAAAGCTCATTTTTAGTTATTCTTTAGCAATCTGGCTTTGGCTCCCCTTGGTTTCGTCCAAATCCAGTAACTTCCATCACTCATTCTAAACATACCTCCAACCTCAGCTCTGGAAACCTCTCATGGACTTAGATACAGCCATGGAGTATCTGCTCCAACTTTATCACTCACTTGAAGTGGGCAGATGGAATTAAGTGCTCCACAAGGGGTCTTCATAGCAAAAGCTGTGTTTTGGGGGAATTATGGACATACAAAGAAATGTTGGATCATTTTTTTCTATTTTATTATTTTTTCCGCTTTGCATAAGTATGATGAATCCTTTCCAGGTCCAGACATCCCCTATTTCTCAGGGGATGTAAGGTGGTGACCCTGATGATGGCAGCTGCTTGGCCCTACCTTTAGACCTGGTTCTTCTAGATGGCTCACCTCCTCCCAGAAGCAATGATAGCGTAACCAGAAGCTAAACTTCTTTAAAAATTAATTAATCAATTAATTTGTATTTGCTGATGAGTACTAGCAGCACATGAAATCCTGTTTGATGGTGTTTGTTGTCTTTCCTCAACTTCTTAGGACAGACCAATGGTGCATGAAGGAAATTTAAGAAATACAGGGTGAAAGTTAGGTTAAAGTCAGGAAGGGTGACTGATAGATCAATCAGGAAACAATGAGATAAATGTGATGTAGTTTTTCAACCTGTTTTGTAATTAGAAAGAAATAAGGTGTGGGGGCGCGCGCGCACACACACACACACACACACACACACACACACACACACACACACACACACACACACACACACACACACACACACACACGCGATCAGATAGCCTAGGCTGGTAGGTAGAGGGTGGAGAAATTCTTTAGAGGGTGGAGAAATTCTTCAAACTCAGAAATTTACTGTGTGTCTTAATCCTGAGCAAAGCTGAGGAGGGAAAAATAAAAAATAAGATTTGTGGGGAGTATAAAAGCTCAATTTCGGATATGTTGACTTTGATATGATCATGGGTCATGCAGATGGAGAATACAGGTTTAGTTCAAGCTATGAGAGTCCCTGGATGGCAGTGACACAGAATATCTGACCTGTCCTATATAACAACAGGGTTGTGAGAATTAAATAAATATATGTGAATGTACTTTACAAAACTATATAGCATTGTGTACCTCCATTATTTTTATTACTATTTTGAGAATTCCAGCTTATAGCATCATTTCTGTGTTTCTTATAGGCAGATAGAATAGTATTTTTTTTCTCCAGAGAAGTCAATGATTTTTCTATGTTCATCTTACCCCAACTACTTCCCCCCAGCCTCTGTGTAGATGCTGAGGTTTGAGGTTTCTGTAAGCCTCTCTCTGTTGCTTATCTCACTGTGGACCACTGTAAGTGCAGAAATACATTGCAGCATCCTCCAGCTGGGAGTCTGAGATACTGAGATGGAAGGATTTGGCTTCTTTCTGGAAGTTCACAGAGTAGTGACTGTTGGTTGCATTCTGTTGCTTATAAGCTTCTTGGCCAATAATGAAAATCATCTCCCCGCTGGGAGGCTGTTTGTACCACAACAAATAATAATTACTGTCACTAGTGCTATACGTACAGTCCAGGGTCACTGTGTCTGCCTCTTGCACAGACACTTCTGGTTGAGGTTGAGTGACCATTTGGGCCACACTGGATCCTGTGGGAAAGAGGAGAGAAAGGACCACCCTGGGTGTCACAGGAGGGAAAGAGAGCAGGCAGACCAGCCCAAACTGGTTCCCATCTCCACCCACCTTTCTTCTGCTTGATCCAAACTTCAGGTAAAATCCATCAGCTTTCTTGCCTCCAGTAGCTGGGACCCATGAGGAGGTAAGATCCCTGTGTTATTAATCTTTCTTCCTACTTCCCAGTCCTATTGGATGTTAGTAAAAGCAAAACATGTGCCTTCCTTACCGAGATAGGTAAGACCACGACTGCCCACAGCAAACCGGGGCCTGCCGTGCTGGCAGCTCTCTCCTGCAGGGTGACAAAAGCTCTTGTTCTTATCTGAACCTTAGGTATTAGCTGTACTGGGTGACATCACTGCTTCAGAACAGGAACTGGTATGTCAGGTGGGCAGTTGAGTAACTGTTGTCAACTGTGCAAGCAGTGCCCTCTTCAGGTCACAGAAATAATTACTGAGGCAATTCCTATGATTCACTCCTCTACCCAGGAAGAACTTGGTTTAAGGAAATCTGTTCTGTAAGGAATCTGTTTATTCGAGTTTCAGGTTTCTATTTATATTCAATGAAGAGACCTTGATATTTAAAACATACCCTATTTTTCCCTTCATTACTGCTTTTAAAAAATCCTACCTTTTATCATAACTTCTCCAAAGAAACCTTCTGTGACTGTGTTAGAACATACTGATTTTCCCCTTAATATTCTCTTATGAATATATGATGTTTACAAAATAAATTTTAAGCATAATCTTTGGGCTCTATTGAGCACTTATTATGTGCCCAATATTGCCAAGAGCATTGAAGAATTCCGTATACCTGTACGAGGCAAAGTTCTGTTCTCATAGAGACCATAATATATTTGGGGGAGGAAAGATCAGGGCCTGGAAACAATAGCAAATGCTTTAAAAAGGTAAGTCACTATGAATCAATCTTTCAGATTCAGCACAGTGTGACTTTAGGAGAGAAGGAATTCAAGGATTCACTATTAGAGAAGAAACTTTGGAGGAGATAGAGCTTTAAGGTGTGCTTATGGGATAATATGATTTGACCAGACTGATACACACATAAAAGGGAAATTTGGGTGAGCGGAACAACCAGAAAAAAAATTCAAGAGTTTGAAGTGCTTATGGGTCAGTAAGGAGAATAGATGGACTTGAATAGAGGTATATTTTGAGAAGAAGTAGGAATGAGGTTTAAATTATAGAGGGTGAGCAGATTCAGGGACAGGGATAATGAGGAAAGTTGAGACTTGGTAACTAAGGACATGATCACACATCTGCAGAGACTGGAGTTTTGTAAATATGGTCTGTTTCACCATCTTTTGAAAAAATAAGGTGACAGCTTCTAGTTTTCCAATTATGTAATCACTCAAGTACCCCCATGCTCTTTAGCAATCAGCCCAGTAAAGTTCACCTTAAACTTTCTTCTGTTCTTTCTCTATTAAAATTTCAAAGAATTCTCTATTAAAATTCCAAAGAAATTTTCTCTATTAAATTTTGTTCCCCCCCCCAAATGGAGCCTAAAGCAAAGACTCAGGTGAAGATAGTTTATTTAGGATGCGATCTTAAGAAGCAGAAATGAGGAGGTAGATAGCACAGGATTAGGGCTTGATTCTCCCAGGATCTCCGAGAAGCATACAGGATGCTTCTCGGGATTATCTGCTGGGAAGCAAGAAGCTAGTGTACTCATCTGTCCCTTTCCCCTCTGGTTGGTGCTTGCTGGCAGGGATGGTAATACCCCTATACTTTCAGGCTGTGCTTGCCCATGGGCTGAATGAGCTCCCATGGAGTCAGAGAAAGCCCTGGGGTAGGAAGTAAAAATAATGCACAGTGCATGCTTAATGTTGGATGTTATCAGCTTGAGACGAGTCCGAGCGTCCAAGAATTGTCTATCACAGCCATTGATAAATTCAACCCTAGGCATTTGGACGTGACAACAGGCACATGAGATATTTGTTATAGGGCTCTCTTCGCACTACTCAGATGCGTGCTTGTCTTATGTTATTTTCACTGTGTCTCTGAGTCTTCAAGATTGTGGCTGGCTACAGTCCATCTAAAACACTTAATACAGGAGGTTGCATAACCTGAGCTTCAGGCCCCACTCCTTTAATTGGTACCAAGTCTATAACTGATACTCATCTTTTCCCTCCTCCAGTGTACCCTCCAGACTTCCTTATATTGGATACCACTTTGGCGAACTTAGATTCTTGCCTGGTGGGGTGACCCAGACCCTCATTGCTGAGAGGTCTCAATTCTTTGTCACTTTGTCCTTTTTAGGCCTTGTTGCCACAGTTGCCACTTGCTCTTTTTACTGGGCATGGAAATACCCCATGTGAAACGCTTACATTCCAAACATATTTCTTCTTGCTCTCACTGTGTAATAACAATCTGGTACCCCATGATAATTGGGTCAATTATGCCCCCATCTAATAAATCCTATCTTTGTCTGCTGGACCTCTGGCACAAGGAGTTCAACTAGGTCACCTAGTGATCTAGGTGGGGTCATAGCTGCAGGTTCAGTGGGGCCCTTACTGAATCCGCTGGTGGAAGCATTCTTCCTCAGGGAACCAGGACCTCTAAATCCAGCAGAGCCTAGGACTATGAGAAAAGGCAAACACAAATTCTGAAGGTGGGTTACAGGGAGTGACAGGAGAAGAGTCTGTTCTGCTTCCATTTCTTGGTTTCTAAACTTGTGTATTTTAGCTAGGGTGCCACAGCACCATACATCAGACATTGATTTAATGAATATTATCCCTTCCTGGAATAGCATTCCAACCTGGAATAGCATTCCAACACTAATGGTGTTGCCCCTGAGCTCGTTTCTTAGCTGAGCCTTTAACAGGCCATTCCATCATTCTTCTAGGTCACCTGTTCTAGGTACCGTCAACCTAGCTTATCTCTTAAGTCTATTGTAGGACCAGTGGGTTCCCTCCCTGGTTATGCTGTAACAGCTGTTGTGTTCTAAAATGGGTACCTTTTTCTGAGGAGATTCGGTTTTGGACATGGATGGACAAATTAAAAGAACAAGCACCTATGAACAAAATGGAAAAGATTAAGATTCTTGGAGGTAAGAGCTCCCAGGAAAATTATAAAGATCTGGTGGACAGAGGAAATGCTTCAGAAGTCTGACCTGTCACATATACCATATGAAGCTATGAGGGTTACAGATGATAGCAAGTATGAAGACAACTTGTAAAACTGGAAAGCACTACACGTGTCATTTTTACTGTTAAGTTAAGGACTACAAGTCATAGACATTCATCTCTCTGTGTCTCTTATATTCAGATAGGAGGAGGTTTTATTCCAAGGAGAAGTCAATGACTTTCTATATTCCTCTTACCCCGACCACTTCCCCTGACCTCTGCACAGATGCTGAGGTTTGAGGTTTCTGTAAGCCTCTCTCTGCTGCTCGTCTCACTGTGGACCACTGTAAGCGCAGAAATACTTTGCAGCATCCTCCAGCTGGGAGTCTGAGATCCTGAGACGGAAGGATTTGGCTTCTTTCTGGAAGTTCACAGAGTAGCGACTGTTGGTTGCATTCTGTTGCTTATAAGCTTCTTGGCCAATAATGAAAATCATCTCCCCGCTGGGAGGCTGTTTGTACCACAACAAATAATAATTACTGTCACTAGTGCTATACGTACAGTCCAGGGTCACTGTGTCTGCCTCTTGCACAGACACTTCTGGTTGAGGTTGAGTGACCATTTGGGCCACACTGGATCCTGTGGGAAAGAGGAGAGAAAGGACCACACTGGGTGTCACACGAGAGAGAAAGCAGGCAGACCAGCCCAAACTGGTTCCCATCCCCACCCACCTTTCTTCTGCCTGATCCAAACCTCAGCAGAACATATCAGCTTTCACCTGGGCTCTCTGAGGCAATGCATTTACTCTGCTATTCATCTTCTCTCGTTTCACAGCCCCATTAGATAACATTATAAAGAAAGACCTAAACCTTCCTTACCCAGACAGGTGGAGACCAGGACTGCCCGCAGCAAGCTAACAAATATCATGCTTACAGCTCTCCCCTGCAGGCTGAGAAGTTTCCTGCTCTGATCTGGGTTCCCCTCTGTGCTCCGCGGCCCTTGAGCTTCAGAGCAGGAAATGGTATGACAGGTGATGGGTGACTGTCTCACTGACGAAAGTTTTCCCAATACTTTTTGGTCTCGCTTCAGGAACTAGGCTATTGGTTGTAATTTCAGATGAAAGTGAAAATCGTTTTCTGAGTTTTTTTAACTTGTAGGCTGAAAATAGAAAGAAGAGGGAGCTGGCAAATTTATTCTGCTAAGACCTAATCTTGGAGAGAAGAATGGGGACCTGGAATAGTGGGCAGAAGTGGCAGAGTTTTATTTGCAACAGTGGCAAACTCTATAATTTTTCTTTGCATTAAAAAAAATAACAATGACAAAGCAAGTATAATATAAACAATTATGGGTGATAAGAATACACCTGTTATATTAATGTATTCAATTTTTAATAGTTTTACAACTTCTCAAAATAAAGAATGAGAAAAAAGATATATGTTTGTGCCTGAAAAGAGCATGGACTAAACTCAGAGTAAATGGAAGCAGATCATGTAGTGTCTAATTGTGCTTATATTTTCCACGGACACACACAAAAAAGAGACCTATTTTTTTTAAGAAGTTCTGAAATAACTATTGCAGGAGTTCTCATCAGCACCGAATTGCTTCAAACAAGTCATATTAAGAGTTGCTCCCATCACTCTCATTCCATTTTGAAAAAATATTGTGAACAAGGAAAAAAAGACCTACTGTGATTCACCAGAAGTTTGTGTTTCCAGAGGAAGTAACAGGGACACTTGTGTAATTCCAGAGTTGGAGTCCCCAAGCCAAGAGTAAGAATGGGGTTCTGCTACATACTGGGTACTGTCTGACAGCACAGGTTCTCTTGTAACAGACGTGGGTGGCTGAGTCTTCTCACTGAGAGAGATGCTCAGGCAATTGTAAGAGTTGGGACCAGCCCTGAACGAGGCTGCTAAAATCTCTGTGCCCCTAAATTCAGTTTGATAGCAATGGAAGAAGGAGCAACCAGAATTTCTTCTAGATCATCTCCATCTTTGCCCCATGATTTGAATTCCTGTATCTTGGTTTTGGATTCCCAAAAAGTCAGCTCTAATACAAGGACTTGTGTATAATTAGTTTATATGCAGGTGATTCTAGGAAACATTAGTAGGAAGTGAATCAGAGAAGGGAAGGAGGCCAAGACAGGGTGTTGTCATCAAGCCGTTACTACTATGGGCAATTGGAGCTTAATCCAGCTGGGTAATTCTGGGAGATGGTATAGCATACCCATTGGAGTTACCCCAAATGAGGCATAAAGGAGCTGGAGTAATTCATAAACTCATTACCTATCATGGCTTGAGGGATGCTTTGGGGACATCAGTTCTCTGGCACATCTGACTTGTCCTGAACACTGGCCACATGCTCTCACGGTCAGAAAATAGTCCTCAGAGTTGCTGGGATTTTCAGGGTGTAGAGGTGACTGTCAGGGTATGTGAGCAGAACACCAGCAGCATCTGTACAGCCCATACCTTTCACTGCTGAGATCCACTTGTGCTCTATGTTAAATTTACTCAGAACACTAGTTCTTTAAAAAAAAAATCAATAGAAGGATCAGTGGGACAAGTTATAATTGCTATAGTTGATTCCACAGCCATAATTCATATTTATTATCTTCCATCTACCTCTTATATCACTCATTGTTGATTCTCTTTCACCTTTGACTAATACTTCTATATCTAGACTTCTGTCCCAGGGAGGTAACCTAGACCTTCATCCCTGAGGGGCCTGAGCCCCTGGTTATTCTCCCCTTATCAGGCCATAGTTGCTACAATTGCCTGTTTACAGTAATTATGGTCATGAAAGTGCTAAAAGTCATCCCGGTGAATCCCCTGAGTTTTAGTCCTATTCTTCCAGCTCCCAATAGGCAGCAATAGCCCTAAATCCTCATGATAATCAAGATAGATTGTCCCTGCCAGTGTAGTAACTCCTTTCTTGGCCTTCTGGTCTTCGGACGTGAGTATCTCCAAATGACCAGGTGGTACATGTAAAGTTTGGTTTTGTGAAAACTTCTCTGTTTCCCTAATAGAAATACCCTCTCCTTTCTCTTCAAAAGGAAACAGGACCTCTAGTCCAGAAGAACCTAGAATTATGAGAACAGGAGACACATAATATCCAAGTGAGTCACTGAAACTGGGAGTTGATGGGGAGATAGCCCTACTTCCACTCCTTGGTTCCCAGGTCCATGCATTTTATCTAACAGGAACACAGCACCATCCTGAAGAATAGTTCTCCAGCCTCTCAGAGCACTACCTCTAAGCTGGTGCTTTAGCTGAGCCTTTCAGTGGTCATTCCAATGTTCTATTAGGCTAGTGGTTTGTGGATAATGCTGTATGTAGTAGATCAGCATACTCAATGGTCACATGCCTGTTGTCCTAACTCTTTGCTATAACTTGGGTCTGTTGATGCAAAGGGATGTGAAATCCCTTGATTAATCGTAATGATCAATCAGGCACTCTGAGCCCTCAGGTTATGCCGCTATGTGTGGCAGTATGGAAGGGAAGGCAAACTCATACCCAGAACGTGTATTAACCCAATAGGAAAAGATTTCTGCCACCTCCAGGGTGGAAGTGTCCAATGTAATCAACTTGCCAGCAAGTGGCTGGTTGGTCTTCTTGAGGGGTGATTCCACATTGAAGGCTCCCTGTTGTATCTGTGGCTGACAGGTTGGATATTTGACAGCAGAAGTAGTTAGGTCCGACTTGGTGAGAGAAAACCCGTGCTTCTGGGCTCACGGAGAACCTCCATGCTGTCAGCTTGGCTAATCTGTCTACGGGTCTGTTGTTCAAGCAGTGAAGTGGACGAAGACAGAGGCTGGTGACATCCCCTGGTTGGATCATCTTGCCATGTGGTCACTCGATGCTTCCTCATAGTGGACACTCCCTGGGGAGCAAGGATGTGAGACGGTGATCCAAACAGTGTGTGCCTTCACTTGCTGCCCCTTCAGTTCATGGTCACTCCTAAATGTGACTCTCCCTCCTCCCACCCCAGCAGACTGTAGAAAAGAGCAAGATGCTAGGCCAGGGGTCACCAACCCCAGGGCCACGGACCAGTACTGGTTCGTGGCCTGTTAGGAACCAGGCCACACAGCAGGTGAGTGGTGGGCGACCAAGCAAAGCTTCATCTGCTGCCCCCCATCTCTCACGTTACTGCCTGAACTGTTCCGCCCCCCACCCCATGGAAAAATTGTCCTCCTTGAAACCAGTACTTGGCGCCAAAAAGGATAGAGACTGCTGCTAGGCACTTTTAAAAGTCACCCCTTTGACTCGTCTCCAGACAGCTGGTTGAAATTTTATCCTCTTCTAAGGAGGAGACAGATTTGCCATCATACTGTGTTCTCCTTTCACTCTGTCCTTTTCTAAACTTTTTACCATTTTCCCTCAGGTTTTGGTACTTGGTCTTCTACCCCAGTCTTTTCAGAATGTCAATGTACATTTTCTTTCACTACTGAATTTGATGGTTACGGCTTTTAAGATTTTGTATTCTTGATATATTTGTAAAAGTCTACAAAGGAGCTCAAAGGCAAGAATTTTACTGTTTCCTGCCTTCTTTAGTGCTCTCCTCTTTCTGATATTAAGCCTCAGGTTTTTGAACAGAGTTAGGACTTCACACAGAGAAACAAAATATATTAGATGGTGTTTGCAAACACTATCCCTCTGCACATGGTATTCAAATGGAATATTTGACACTGTTATACAAAGCTCCTCCTATTTCCCTTTGCTCAGAGTGCAAAGTCAGCGCCCTGGAGCCCTTCAGGCAGGAGGTGCAGGCTTAGCAGGGTTTAGGTGCGGGACGCAGGTGTTTGAGCAGCACTGTGCACTTGTTGCACATAAGAAGGTGGTTGTGTCGTTGAGCTGGGAATCCTTCACGTGCAGGGAAAATTGCTGGTCATTTTTGTTAAGCCTGGCTGTGAATCTTCCACTGATCTTCTCTTTCTCACTTGAAAACAATTGTATCAGGGAGTGGAGGCCTTCCCTGGGATCCTGCGTAAACCACTGGAAGAAATCAACAGCTCTGTCTGTGTAACTGCAGTTCAGTGTGAAGCTCTCGCCTTCCTTGACTTTCTTTTCCACCAGTGGTTGTCCATTTGACCCTGCTCAGGAGGAGTGAAAAGATTTTCATACATAAGAAACTTTAAAAAAAAAATTCATTGAGCTGTGTGTATACTCATAATGTATGTACTTGTCTGTGTAAATGTTACCAGTTAATAGAAAGTGTTTTAAAAGTCACTTAGGTTATTCAGATTTTTGTAATCTGTTTTCTTCTTGGTGTTTTCGTTTCTTCTGTCTCACTGAAGTTTTTTCAAAAGCATTTCAGCTTATTTTTGTAATTATTTGGCTTTTCCACACTCCTCCAATCGGGGCTCCTTTATCTATAAGTGCACAGTAGAATCACTTGGGGCACTTACGAAAAATGCAGATTTCCAAATTTCATTCTCAGAGACTCTGCACCACCTTTTCTAGAGTCAGGCCTGGGTATCTACAGATTTTGCCAAGTGCTCAAGTGGTTCTGAGGCAAGGTGCTTGCAAATTATCTTTGGAGAGACACTGCATTGGATGTGAGTTCTTTAATAAACTGTATACCTCGCCAAAAAAAAAAAAAAAAAAGAAAAACTTTTTTTTTTTAAATAAAGAACTTTTCCTATTTGTTTTACAAAATTCCTTAATATAAACTCTGGATTGTCCCCCTCTAAATATCCTTACCAGAGTTGCCCCATTTCCCTGGCTTGACCCTTCCCCCCGCCCCCCCTTGTCCTCCCCACTCACAGCTTAGCTGCACACACAGGAGCATCAGTGAAGCTTGCAGGTGAGGCTCCATTCCTGCTTCTTCCTGGAGTCTCCGAGGATTCAGTTTGGAGGCCTGAAACGGACCATGTTCAATTGTTCTAGTTCGTTGTTCTAGATTTTTCTGCTTCTTTTGGTTTGGAAGCCCCAGTGATCTTCACTGTGTTTTCACAACCAATCAAAATCTCGCTTGTCACAAAATGCATCATTGAATATACTCACTCCTGCTGCTTCCATTCACATAGTTCTAGTTTCCAGCCAGTCACTTCTGTCAGTGAAGCACTGCCCCCATGTGGTCTGAACTTTTAAATTGAATTTTGTTTCCATTTCCCTTAATAAAAAGAAATTCCTTATGTTAAATTAAAGGAAGATAGAACATACAGAGAGGTGAAGAGAGAACAAAAAAGAAAGGAAACAAAACATAGTGTCAGAATGTTCTCTAGTGATGACTGTCTTCATATCCTTAGTGCCTGGAACTCCCTTCCTCACTCCCCTCACCTATAAGGGATCAATGCATGTGCTTTGCCTGTATGACTCTCTGTACTATGTTCTGAGGGGCATAAATAAAAAGTTGAGAGAAGACCT